CCCACCCCCGCCGCTTGGCAAGAACAAGTCTATTCTATGTCTGTGAGTCTGTTTCTGTTTTGTATTTATGTTCTTTTTTTTTAGATTCCACATATGAGTGATCTCATATGGTATTTTTCTTTCCCTTTCTGGCTTACTTCACCTAGAATGACATTCTCCAGGAGCATCCATGTTGCTGCAAATGGCATTATGTTGTCGGGTTTTATGGCTGAGTAGTATTCCATTGTATAAATATACCACATCTTCTTTATCCAGTCATCTGTTGATGGACATTTAGGCTGTTTCCATGTCTTGGCTATTGTAAATAGTGCTGCTATGACAACTGGGGTGCAGGTGTCATTTTGAAGTAGGGTTCCTTCTGGATATACGCCCAGGAGCGGGATTCCTGGGTCCTATGGTAAGTTTGTTCCTAGTCTTTCGAGGAATCTCCATACTGTTTTCCACAGTAGCTGCACCAAACTGCGTTCCCACCAGCAGTGTAGGAGGGTTCCCTTTTCTCCACAGCCTCTCCAGCATTTGTTATTTGTGGACTTTTGAATGATGGCCATTCTGACTGGTTATCTAAGTCTTGTTATCTCGTCTGTTAGTAAGTAATTTCTTGAGGCATCCTGACTTTAGCTTACTGTTCTTGCCTTTGGAAGATAATCTTTAACCCTGTTCATTACAGGGAGTTATACGCACCCATTCTATAGTGGTTTTGGAAATTATATTTGTTAGAATATGTTTGTTGTAGGAAATTAAATTTATTCACCCACCACATAGTGGAACACATCTTAAATGTTAAGGCGCATGTGAATCACTGGGATCTTGGTAAAAGTTACATGGTTTTGGGAAGTCGGGAGAAGGAGCAAGATTCTGCATTTCTAGCTGCTGCTGGTGCGGCTAGTCCTTGCCCACTTTCTGAGTCACAAGGAAGTAATGTACCTACTGACACAGTGACATCTGTCTTGCAATCCACTAGTTCACCCTCTGTGTTCTAGAATGCCACAGGAATACAAGCATCTTAAATTCACTTCTTAAGCAGGAAACATACAGATTCACAGCCTGGCTTTCACCCTTCAGGTTTGACTATAATAAATACCTGCAGTTGATTCATTTCTTAATGTGAGAATGTTTTCTTTGTTACAGAGACAAGTTTCCAAGATGGAGGACCGAGTACCAGAATGAGGTTGAGCAAAAAAAATTGAAAGTGGTCACAGGATTTCTCAGTAAGTCACCAGTGACCTTAGCCACAGTAGCTGCGGTGGAGTGAAGGGGACAATTGCGGGCTGAGAAAGGAATGGGAGGCAAGAACATGGAGAAAACCGATATAAATTACTCCTTGAACATGTCTGGTAATGACTGAAGGAACCTGGACAGTAGCTTGTGAAGTGGGGATTGGTCAGGATAAAATGAAGGGTTGGGATTGTGTTCACAACATTGTTAACATACTCATTGCCACTTACAAATGGTTCAAATGATAAATTTAATGTTACATATATTTTATCACAGTAAAAAAAAGCTTCCCCTCAATTTGCATACATTACCATTTAATCTTTGTAAAGTTCTAGGGGGGATTGAAAAATGTATGTCACATATGTACCATTACCAAATTATATAGAATAGTTTCGTGACCCCCCCAAATCCACTATGCTTTACCTATGCAGCCCTTCTCCCTCCCCCAAAAGCCATGATAACCACGAATGTTTTATTGTCTCTACAGTTTTGCCTTTTCCAGAATGCTGTGTAATTGGAATCATGCATTAAGTAGCCTTTCAGACTAACTTCTTTCATTTAGCAATATTCATTTAGGATGAAACCATCTCTTTTCATGGCTTGATGGTTCATTTTTCTTTATTTATAAATGATATTCCATTGTTTGGATGTAGCACAGTTTATCTTTTCACCTGTTGAAGGACACCCTGGTTGCTTCCAAGTCTTGGCAGCTATGAATAAAGAGGCCATAAACATTCATCTGCAAGTTTTATGTGGACTTGGTTTCAAAGCAGTTTAGTTTACCTTTTATTATTTTTTAAATTAATATGCAAAATTAACTTTAAAAAGCTTACAATTTTAGGGGGTGAGTAGAGAATAGATATCTCAAGCTAATGATTTTAGTGCCTTTCTATGTATGGAAAGATGCAGAAATCTGGGGTCATTGAAATTTTTCCTTAGATAGGCATCTTAACCATAACTGATGTAATTCATGAGTATGTCGTAATTGTGTTTTTCTGTCTCCTTCACTCTGCACTAAGCTGTCTGAAGGCAAGTGTTGGGCCATATTCACCTCTGCACTACCAATACCTAGTGCCACAGTCAATAAATATTTGCTAAATAAATGATCATTAAGCGTGGAAGACGTGAATTCACACTGGACCCAAATACAGTCTTTATCATCTTCCTAAGATAGGTTTTGTCTCAAGTATGAAAGTCCATTTGCTGATGTCCGTAGAGAGGCTAGGTCAAGGTCAACAATCCACACACCCCATCCTCAGCTTCCCTCCCTTTCATGACTGTATCATCTTTCTATTGCTGTGTAACAAATTACCACAATACACATTTATAAGCTCAACTTTCCATGAGTTAGGGGTCCTTGGGTCCTCTGTTAGGTTCTCACAAGAGTACAGTCAAGGCAACAGCCAGGCTGTTTTCTCACATGGAGGCTGCACTGGGGAAGAATCTGCTTCCAAGCTTATTCATCTTATAGCCAAAGTTAATTTCCTTGTGGTCATAGGACTGAGGGCTCTAGCTTTCTGCTGGCAGTTGGCTGGAGGCACGCCACTCTTCCTAGAGGCCACCTGTAGTTCTTTGCTGGATAAGCTTCTCCAACACATCTGCTTACTTTATCAAGCCCACAAAGGGGGTCTTCAGTCTGTTAGGAAGTTTTATATAACATAAAGTAATCACAGGCGTGATATCCCAGTGTTACTGGAGAGTAAGTTCTTGTCTTGTTGCAGAAAGATTTCAGAGATGAGACACGGAGGTCAACAAAGCAAACTGAGGATTTATTATTAGGTTATAGTACACTTTCAAGCAGAGAATGGGCAGACTCAGCTGAGTAGCTGTGCTGAGCTTCTTTGACAAGCTGGTTATATAGGGTGAAAAATGTATGGTCAGAATATTCACTAGAGAGGGAAGGATTCGGAGTCGTATTTCCTGATTTTCATCCCAGCTCCACCTTCCTGAGGGAAGGAGGTATTTACGTCCTTATTTAGTCTGGATCAGAAGTATCATGGCATCCACACATGATGGACACAAGATACTTCTTATCTGCAAGGCTACTTTTATTTTGGTGAGGGTATAGTGAGCAAAATGTTACACTGGAATGACCAAGATTCCTGCCTTATCTCATCTTTCTTTGTCTGTCCCCAGGCTACTTGTCAACCCAAAATGTATGGTTTCTTATCAGTCTGGAGGTTCCTGCTTTTCTTTGTCTGCCCAACGACCCCCATTGTTCACAAGATGTATGGTTTCCTGCCATTTGGCCCATGCCCCACTTTCTCTGCTCATATCTAGCTATCTGCCTGCTGTAAATCCCAGCGGGCAGCCCATACTCTAGGGGAAGGACTTACTTGTAAGTGGAAGGAAGGAGGTGGCAAGCGGTGGGGAGTAACTTTAGGGTCTATCCACCAGAATGACTTTCATCCGTAGAATTGCTTTTCCTTCTATCCCAGCAATTCTGACCCAGTGTTACTCCTGGCATAGCATGGCCCTCTGGACCCTGCTGTCCTATATGGTAACACTAGGTCCATACGTGACTAGTGTGACTGGAAAAATGATTTTTGAATTTTTAGAAAACTATTTAATGAATTTAAATTTAATTTAAAAACCAATACCAGTTGTTGGAGAAATTTTTACACCTGTTTGGAACAACGTGGGTATATGAATCTAAATTTTCAACGAAATTTTATGAAATCTAGATACTGATCAAGTACCTACACTGAAAATTTAGTGTTCAAATGGAGACGTGTTGTTAATTATAACACCTACACCAGATTTCAAAGACTTGGTATGAAAAAAGAATAAAATATTTCTTTAATAGTTTTTATACTGATGACATGTTGAAGTGATAACAATCCGTATCTATTGAGCTAAGTAAAATACATTATTAAACATAATTTCATCTGCTTGTATTTTTTTTTTAATGACTTACCAGAAAATTAAAAGTCACATACGTGTCTCGCATGCTACTGCTGAGAGAAAATGCAAAGAGGTTCAGCTGACAATGGGGTGGGAAAGACACACCCTCGAAGTTAGCTAAGAATGCAAAGCAAAATCTGATGAATGTCAGACAAGTATTGCAGGGGCTCAGAGGAGGGGGAAATGGGGACACCAAAGGCTGAGCAAGTTTTCAGCAGAAGGCGGGAGGCGCCGATCTGTAAGTTTCCCGCAGTAGGTTTCCGGGCCGCTCCGCGCATGCGCGGCCCGCGCCGCCCGGGAACGCGCGGCGCCTTTCGACCCCGCCACCCCGCCGTAGCCCGCGCTGCGCTCCCGGCGGCCGCGATGGCGGACGTGTCCGAGAGGACGCTGCAGCTGTCAGTGCTGGTGGCCTTTGCCTCCGGAGTCCTCCTGGGCTGGCAGGCAAACCGGCTGCGGAGGCGCTACCTGGACTGGAGGAAGAAGAGGCTGCAGGACAAGCTGGCGGCGACGCAGAAGAAGCTGGACCTGGCCTGAGATCCCCGCGCTGCGGGCCTGCGCGCGGCCCCTCGCCTTTCCCGCATGGGGCCCCGCCGCCGCCAGGCTCGCCTCGCTCTCGGCTCGCAGCGCTGGCTCTTCCTAGAGTCGGTGAGCGGTGCTTACAGCGGCGCTCGAAGGGGAGACTTTGGGGACGGACGGGTGTCTTGGGGGCAGGAGGGCCTCTGGAGAACCCATAGGGGATGACTTGCTCCCACGGACACAGAAAGAGGAGGAAGTTCATTTTTCCTAGTAACTCGCACTTTGGTGTCGTAATTCAGTTTACTGCGTGTGTTTAACGGGAATGTCTTAACCATGTGCGATGTCGGTGAACCGTGACCACATTAAACTTCAGGATGGAAAATACTGGAAAGAAAAAAGGGACAAGAAAGAAGTCTGGTGTTCCCCCCACCGCTTCCCCCTTACCAGTTTCTCAGTTTTCTTATGTGTAACACCACATCGTATAGTTCATGATTTAACTCAAAAATAAAGTTGAAGTGAACGATTATGTATTCCTAACTTTTATTTCTCTTTTCTGTTTCCAACAGCCTGTCGAAGATGGATATGGAGCATTGGACCGTATTTTCTGCTTGCACTTTATGAATCAATTTTATTTTTAAAATAAAAAATAATTAAACATCTTTGAACCTTTTATTAAAAGGAAAAGGAGTATCTTGCCTGCCATGTGGCTTACTGCATTGAGAGATCTGGATTCTCAAAACTGATGTATTAGTGTTCTTGATCAGATACTTTGTGTCTTAAGGAATATATGCTAGTTCTTTGTACAACCGCAAAGCGGGGTTGGCCTGCGGACCATTATGGGTCTTTTTGGCCAGCTATTTTACTGGACCTGTTGAGGAAAGCAAGGGACTGTAAAACAATAACTTATGCAGTCCCAAGAGTGAGAATATACTCCACTCACAAAGTATAGGTTTTTACTGGCAAAAATTTCATTTGTGTCACTATGGACTATACATGCGAAGGAGAAACCGTCTTTAATAGAGCTTAGTGATGGATCCCAACTACAGTTGACCCTTGACCAGCCTGGTTTGAGTTGCATGGGTCCACTCATAACGTGGATTTTTTTCAGTGAATACAATACTATGCTATCTGAGGTTTGAATCTACAGATGTGGAAACATGGATAGGAAGGGCCAGCATCCTCGGATTTTGGTATCAGAGCCAGGTCCTGCAATCAATTCCCTGAGGATGCCGAGGGACGACTATATACCTAAAAATCAAGAGTGAGTGACCAAGCTCCTAGTTATTTTTGATTTGCAAGAGGTGTTTTCTGGAACACTGCCCTTGCTTGTTCCTATAAATTAATTTTGTGTTGCAACAAATGTACGAGCAGCTCCATATTAACCTAAGAAATTCAGAAAAGTTGTTTTCACAGAAAGCTGCCTCCCCCCTCAATTTTATTGGGGCCATTATGCTTTATATTACTTCCAACTTGCTTTCCTTCTGTGAAAGTGCTCAAGGACTGAACTGTTTGTTCCTAGAGCGCCATCCCATCTGCACTTTGCTGAAATATCTGAGTCACCATTCCTCACCGAGGCTCAAATAGTGGAGGCTTTCTGAGTTAAGGTAGGTTTCTTACGGCACATGCGTGGTGCCCCAGACTGTTGGTATCTTCCCAGTTAAGCACCTAGGTTGTGACCAGTTCTGCCTGTAAGGGCCTGTTTGTGTGTCATGTTCCTAGTGGACTCTCCAGTGTTGACTCCTTTCCCATTACTTATGTGCAGCACCAGGACACACTGGTCCCCCTCTCTTGGCTTGCCTCAGTGTTCTGTCATCCCTGCCCCTCTGGGTGTGTGCTGATCACCCTCACGTCCCGTCTAGGTCCTTACGTGGTTTTCAGCCACCATACACCACTCTTAATCGTCCCCTTGTTTTCTGCCTGCTTCCCCTTCACACTGTACCCGGTATCCCCGGCTCTGCGGTGAGTAATTGTCCTTGATGCTGCCTCTACTGTTTGTCCCCAAGCTCTCAACCCCTTGCCCTACTTAAATGTGTTCGGTTTTTTCCCTGAAAATGTTGCCTTATATAGAGATGTTACTCTTTCCACGTTAGCCATTAGTTCTAAACTATGAGTCCCTCAGAAGCTGTTAAAGTCTTGGCAGTGTCTCCTGTGAGGAAGCCATGCAAAGCTGACATTCATTGTAACACACTGATTGAAGACAGTCATGACAAGTTTTATGTAATAACTTGTTCTCAGGAGAAACAACAGCCATGGTTTGCTTTGGTTTGGGCTACCCTCACATCGAAACTGTCTTGCTTGAGGTTACTCTGATTTTCTTAATGGCATCAAGGGATGACAATAGAAAAGCAAAGACTCATGTTAAGGTGACTATGCTCAGTGTTACAAGTCAAAAGAAATGTAAGTTGACGAAAAAGAAGGCATTTAGCTGAGTAACCTTGTTCATTACAGCATGGTGAATACCCAAGTGATATTTCTCAAACTTGAATGTGCACCTGAAACACTGGGGTATTATTAAAATATAGACTCTGATCCTGTAGGGCTGTGGCAAGGCCTGAGAATACGCATGTCTAACAGTCTCCCAGGTGCTGCTGATGACGCTGATCCAGGACTCATAGGAATAAATGCTTGTCCCTCTGTATGTGGTACAAAAATGTGTGAAATCTAAGTCATCTTTCCACCTGAGGTGAGCAGGAGTACTAAACTTTTTTGCATCCTTCCTCATTCTGCATACATATACACATGTGGAGGGGGTTTATTTGTTTATTTTTACCAACACAGAATTGTACCATCTTCATGACCCTGTAACTTTTCCATTTAAAATATGGAAATCCCTATAAAACAGGTAGAATTTTTCGCATACATGCGAAAAAAAAGATTTCATAAATGATGGATTGTCTTTAGTGCAGTTTTTAATTTTTGCTTATCTCTTACAGGATCACTTAGAAGTACTGATTATTAATCCATCTAAAAATACTTTATAGCACTTACTACTTCTCATTTGTCGTTATAAACTTTTTTAATGGAAATACTATGGCTATGTAAGTGAAATGTTAAGAATCATGAGCCATAATGGAGGAATTAATTCAAAATAAACACGAGCTACCAAAAAGCAGAGCAACAGAATGGATGAGTATATTAGAGTATGGCATACAGTGGCACACAGGAGAGCAATGAGAATGAACAAACTACAGCCCACATGACAGAGGTGCATCGCACAGATGCGCTGAGTGAAAGAAGCCTGACAAATGCAGGTACACGCAGCGTGATTCCATCAGTTCAAAAAGAGGCAAGACAAATTTTAGCAGCTACAAGTTAGGATACTGTTTCCTTTTGGTGTAGGGGGTGGAGGTGGGCAGGGTCTAGAAAGAGGGAAGACTACTAGGGTGCTGGTCACGTTCTGCATCCTAATCTTGGTGATGTTACGTGGGGGTGTGTTCAGCGTGAAAATTCGGTAAGCGCTGTGCCACTTCTCAGTTGAAGGAGACAGTACGCAAATAGCATGGCAGTTGGGCCTGTGGAATTAGTGTGTTGTACTGAAGAACAGGTATTAGTGTGGTTCATCTTCTGAAAAGTGAGCTCAGATTGTCATTCTTATTCCGTGTAGTGAACAGGGCTTGGGGATTGGATTTATAGGACTGAGCCTCACTTGGGGAAATGTTATTCCAACCTCCGTGAGTGATGCGAAACGGAGATCATAATTACGTACTCATAGAACTGCAGCAGAGCAGATAGAATCACTATCTTCCCGGAACTCAGGATGGGCAAGGTGCGAAACCACGATGAACTGATACTTAAGCAATATCCCAAATGGCAAAGAATTAAAAACTGCCTTTCTGAAGTGAGAGTATGTGCCAGAACCATGTATCCCATTAAAGCCATTTAGGAAGGCTGTCCTTGCAGTTCATTTAAAGACATGACGATCCTTAAATTGTATTTGAAGATTAGTTGAGCAAAACTGGTAGCAGAAAGCAAATGCCATGACGGGTACCCCAGCAGGACGGTCGCGGTAACAGAGTATTGTGGGACTTGTAGTTTCGGACGCAGTGGGGCACTCTCCCCCACCTCCACCCCAAACCTTTGGGAGTGGCCAGGAGAAGGTGACTGCCTGGGCAGTGATCCCGAGCAGAGAGCGCAGGATCTGCGGGCTGGCGGAGCGGCCTCCTCAAGAGAGGATGGTCCCCGCGCGCTTCCCGACCCGCCAGCGCGGCTGCAGGGTGGGAG